TGTTGGTAAACAGAATCACAACAAGGGGAGGAGGCCAGGGTTGAGCTCCCCAGGGTGCTGCTGGTGCTGCAGGCTCTTCCTAAGGGGGCAGACCTGGAGAAGTGGCCTGGCCCATCTCCTGACGCTCAGTCTTGCACACTGCAGCTTGGGGGCAAGGGGCACGGTGCCAACATAGGGTGTGTGTGTGTGTGTGTGTGTGTGTGTGTGTGTTGCCATCACCCAGCAAGTTCCCAGCACCCCACTCCCTGAATGAGTCTGGCGGGTGAGTGGTGTTCTCCGAGTCACCTCTAGGACAGCCTGTGAAGGAGCCCTAAGAACAAGGCGGAGACATCGGAGGAAGCAGCACAGCTCCCCCGTCACAGAGGCAGAGTGGGATCCCCTGACTCTTGACCTGGAAACCCCCAGTCTCATGTGGATCCTCAGCCCCAGTTTTCTGAGCAGGGCAGAGAGGGAATCCTGAGTCTGCACCACCCCGTCAACAAAGAGCTTCCCATGGATCCAGGCCCTGCCTCAACCTTAACCACCTCCCAGGTCCTCCACTGATTCTTTGAACAACTTATTTAGTGTCAAGCACCAGGGACATCGTAATAAATAAAGACAAACAAGGCTTCGCTCAGTGGGGGAGACAGGCACTGGTGGAATAAACAAAAAGCAGCAACGGGTCAGCCATATAATTCAGACAGATGCTGGAACCCAGCAAAACAGAGGCGGCGTGGCAGAGGCAGCCTCAGAAAAGGCCGCGGAGGAGGCCCCTCGGAGCCGTGAAGGCTGCGCTTCGGCCTTCAGGCAAGCAGGCAGCAGGCGGGGCGAGAGGAAAGCTTTCCAGGCAGAGGGGAAGGGGAAGGGGAAGCGACGGCCCTGAGCCTAACTGGCGGAGGGGGGGGGCGTGAGAGCAGCAGAAGCCGGCGTGAGGCGAGGCAGTGGGCCCGCGCAAGGGCCCTGCAGGCTCATATGGTACGTGCAGTGGCTCCTTCTCCAAAGAAACAAATACCCTCATCCCGCTTCCTGGCAGAGATGCTAAAAACACAGGGGAGGAGGGGAGGGAAGCCTGAGTCACACGCTGGAGGTGGCAGTGACCAGCGCTGGTGTGACCTTTAAGGAGGAAGGGTCTGCTGCTTGGCTGCCAGCGTGGGTGGGCCAGCGGGTGGAACCGGGGAACTGGAGAGGAGGAGAGGTCAGCAGCTGAGGGAGGAGTGAGGGGCTGAGAGCAGGACATCCTGCTGGGCTGGAGCTTGAAGACAGAGGCAGCCATGAGGGTTGCATGTGGTGTAATTTCCCTCTGGTCATCCTCTAAAGAAGACTTGGTGTTAACAGCTTCAACATGTCTCAAAGCTTTTAGAGCCAGATGGTGGTTCCTTTTGGACAGGTCTCAGCGGGAGGGTCTCAGGAGACGCAGAGGCCCCCGTGCTGCGTGTATTGTTGAAACTGGGGCAGAGGGGAAAAGGGTCCCTGCTCAGACACTCACCTGCTGTGTGACCTCAAACAAGTCCCTTGTCTTCTCTGTTTTCCAACTCTGGCCATGAAAGAATTGGATTAGATGATCTCCAAGGCGCAAACAGTCTGGGACTCCAAGATGCCACATGTCTTTTTGTTTTCTTAACAGAGGTGTGAGAAGATGGGGCTTAGAAACCAGCTGTTGATGCTCAGAGCAAACAGGGCCCATTCGCCCTCATGAGCTGAACATCCCTGCCCACTCTGCTGGGGAGGACAATCACAGGGACATGTTCACTCACTCTCTTATTCCCCAGCACTGCTCAGGCCCAGCCAACACCAAGGAACTGCCCCTCACGCGGAGACAGGACTCCTCAAAGCTTCCAGAAGCCGCTATCTGTTCACGCCAGGACTGGACTGGGGGCAGCCCCCAGCAAGGTGGGGTAAAGAACCCAGTGACCATGTAAACACCTCTGCAAGGAAGGAGTCTGTGGCCTCAGTGGATGAAATATCCCTCTGGAGAGCAGAAGAGCCCCTCCCCTCCTGGAGAGGGCCTCGGGTGGCCTGTGACTCTGGAGAGTCAAGATGTCAGGCCTCACCCTGCTGTCTCAGGGCCAAGAAGAGCCCCGTCCTGGCCCCGTCCCCTCCAGCTGGGCGGCAGGAGCCCCAGGCCGGGGAGGGCTGCTTTCCTGGCTGCCTGCTCTCTCACGCACAGAACCGCCTGCCTTCCTCCACATTAGTAATCTGCGCACAGAGCCAGAGCTTCTCCTCCCCTCCCCCTCAGTCTCTTTCCTCCCTCTCTCTCCCCCCTCTCTCCCCACCCCCATTTCTCTTTGGCTGCCCCTTTCCTTCACCTTCTTCTCTTGCCTCCTCCCCACCCATCAGAGCCCCCGCCGCCCCCTAGGAACTGAGAGGGTTTATCATCGAATCAGGCTTTGTCAAGGGGAAGCAGGTTTATATTTCTCACTTAGAGAAGGCGCCCAGGAGCAGGCAGTGAAGGGGTGCTTCGTATATATGAAGCATGCCCCCCAGCCCGTGACTGGACCTGCCTCTGGCTTTCTCGGGTTCCTCATTTGCCGGACCTGCCTCTCTGGTGCCTTGCTCCTAACCCTTCCCCGTGAGCCTCTGCCCACCAGACCCACCCGCTCCAAGTCACTCCATTCGGTTCATCTTTTCATTCAGCAATTTGGAATCTTTATTTTTATGTGCCAGGGAGTCCAGGGGGGAGGGGGGGACACACAGATACCTGAATAAGCAATTAAAATACAAAGCAGTGATCACAGCAGCAGAGGTGGTCCAGACCACCAAGGTGGGTGTGCGGGGTGGGGGTGGGGTGGGCAGAGGTGAAGGAAGGCGGCGGAAGGCGGAGGAGGAGCCCTGAGAGCAGGAGGCCTCAGGCGAGTGGGAGTCCAGGGGACAAAGGCAGCCGGAGAAAGGGGTCCTGGCCCAGGCTGGGCCCCGCCAAGCGACCTCTGCCCAAAGGAGCAGGGGGTGAGCCGAGCCTGCACAGAGCAGCGGCAGTGAAAGGGCCCCTGCCCGGTTGCACCTGGGGATCAGAGGGCCAGGTGGGTATTTTGGAAGTTCTGCAAAAGGCGGTTTTGAAGGAGACAAGCCTGGAGTCGGGAATGGGGAGAATGGTCAGGTTGCTGCTGCCTGTGAATTAGGAGGGAGATGTGAGAGTTCTGAGTGAGCACAGTGGCTGCACAGAAGTGGAGGAGGCGTCCAAGGGGCCAGTCCAGGCAAGAGCCTGCAGTGTTTTCTTGCGGTGGGGCTCTGGCAGAGGGGAGCGGAGCCCAGGAGAGGTGAGGGTGGGCTGCTGAGCACACCTGCACTTGTGCAGGGAGAGAGCAGCGATGGGCCAGGGAGAGCACATACCAGGGGTGCCACGTGGGCTGCCAGCAGAAGGGAAACCAACGAGGTGAGAGCAGCAGCGGGAGAGACAAGCAACCCAGAGGCAGGGAAGGGTGGAAAGGAAAGAAGGAAGGAATTGGGTCAGGCCTCACTCAGGGCAGAGAACTGCAAAGGGCCCCTGCTGAGGCTCTGCCAGTAGTCCAAGTTCACGGCTGCCTCTTCCCTCTTCCCCAGTTCTCCTGGAGGCAAACTCTCTTTTTCTGCCACCCAGTCACCAGTCACAGTCACCACTAGATGCTGAGCACCAGCTGTCGGTCCAGCCTTCTAGGGTGCTCCAGCAGAGGGAAGAGGAAAGCCCCCATGCTCAGGCTCCCAATCTAATGAGGGGCTGTGCACAAAATCCCACTTATTAAAAGAGCAACCAACAAGTAATAGCCATAAGGAATCATATGAATTAAATGCACACTGAAGGGATCCTAGAGAAAAGAGGTCAACTCAAGGAAGGAGGCAGGGACACCCACCCTGGCTCTGGAGCATCATGATGTCATAATTCATAGCGGATCAATCGTGGAGGGCCTGGTGCCCTAACCCCTGTGGAAACCGCTCTCTTCCCTGACCGCTGAGCCCTTCTCGGAGGCCCAGGGCCGCAGGTCCCTCTGTGAGATGTATCTGGTGCTTGCAGCCCAGATGATGGATGAGCGGGCAAGAGATGCTCAGGGCAGCTGAGGCCAGTGGGGCTGAGCAGGGAGAGAAATATGATAGCAAAGCCGCTCAGAAACATGAGAGACTCTCAGGGGCTGCATGGGGGCACTGAGGACCAGGGTCTCTCTCTGCGCCACCTCCATTCACCTGTCTGCCTCCAACCAGATCCTAAGTACTGTGACACAAATGGCACGGAGAGGCTGGGGACAGCTGAGAGCATGGGGTAGGGAGGTGAAAGATCAAAAGCCCAAAAATCATCTCTTTCCTCCCTTTAGGGCCATGGATGTGGAGAACTCCTGGGGTGCACTGAGGAGTGGCGCAGCAGCAGCCCAGGACTGTTCCCTGCCCTGGTGCCCCAGTGCCCCAGAAATGAGCCCAGCCCCAGACTCGCCTGGCATAGAGTCAGGTTCCCATTCAGCCTCACTCTTTCAGACGCTGGGCCAGCAGCTAGAAGACAAAGAGACACATTCCTGGGATCAACCCAATCAGGACTCCAGCCGAGGGATCAAGGTGAACTGGGACTGCAGGCAGCCTCTCTGGGAACCCAACCTGCCATTGGAGCTGCCTGGCAGGCCCGGCAGGCCCTGCGTGGGATGGGTGGGACTCCAGTCTACTCTTCCCAGCCCTTGCATTCCACTTTCCCAGGCCCCAGGCTCCACTGTATCCCTCCCATGTACACGCTGGACACCAGGGATGTTGACAGGTTACCACCGTCCTTCCACTCCCCATCAGCTGCTGGCTGGGGGGGGACCAAAAACACAGAAATGGGAGCCCCCTCCCCTTGCAAGAACTAATGTGATAAGATACTAGCATTGCGGGAGGGGGTCCTGGGGCTAGGCAGCTGGCATGATTGGTTTTGCTGCCCAAGACAGAAAATGACTATATTATTGGTGGGTAATTGAGCTCTCTCTTTTTTGGAAATGAGCACAGGCAGGAGGGATTACAGGAGCATCTCCGAGCTGGGCACTCCATGCTTTGGCTCCCTTCCTCCAACGTATAAGGGTAATAGAGATGAATCAGATGTGTGGCCTGTCCTGAGGATCTTACCCTGGAGGCCATAGCTGCAGGCAGTAATGCTAACAGTGGGAGACACAGGAGCTCAGGAGGGCAGATGCCTTGGGCTGAGGTCGACTGGAAGACTGCATGGAGGAGGCAGCACATGATCTGCCACTGCCGTCTCCTCAGTCAGACAGCAGCCCGTGGAGGGCAGTGCCCACACAGCTACTTAGGACAAGCTTCTGCGTGGAAGGGACAGACCTTGCACACAGTTAGGCACAACACATATCTGTAGAAAGAACAACAGGCTGGTGACAGCGAGGGGCGTTCTGAGGGTAAGAAGCATGCAGGTGCCTCTCCTGGGTGGGCTTGCCTTGGCTGCCGTCTGCCACTTCTTCCACCTTTAGAGGCACCATCTTCTCCCGACTCCTCCCCCTCTCTCCTTGGCACCCTCTGGATCTTCAGGTGGGCCCCTGTTCAAGTCCAGGGCATCCCTGGGTCCCTAAGGGGAAGAACAGAGACTGTACTTGCAGCTGTCACACCTGAGCCATCAGGTAGAAGCTGCTGCCCTGGACGCAGGCCTTTCTCGGGGCCTTGGCGCATCGAGGCAGTGTGGGTTTCTCAGAAGGCTCGCGAGGTACCAGCACTGAGCAGCCCCCACTCACCCTCCACATCCCTCTCTCCTCACGCTGCTCCACGCTGCTCTGGGCCCTGTACCTGGAAGACCGACTCCTAAGGCTGCACCAGGCAGGCTCCCTAAGCCTCTAGCTGCCAGTGGAGTCAGCCAGTGGAGGCCTGGTGTGGAGGAGAAGGGCCTGTGGTTACCCCGCTCTCCTCTGATGGCCAGCTCTTGCCCGGTGGACCCCACAGCTCCAGCTCCCTCCAGTTCCAGGACCTCTCTTCCCGCATCTCTTCAGGGTGTCGCCCCTCCTCGGCTGGTCCCTTTAACCCTTCCTGGCTGTGGGTGCCATCCTCTCTTGCCGGACCCTGACTAGCGCACACGTCGGCCCTGCTCTCCGCCCAGTGCGAGGAGATAGGGAGAGAAGGCGCCGTAGGCCGAACCCTAGGACAAAGCTGGGTCTGGTTCACTCCCGGGCATGTGCCTGGGTTTGAATCTTAGCTCTGCCACAAGGTAAGTTATTTTTCTTGTGTTACTTTTTTCATAAAGTGGGGATATGACTTCTCAGGGTTGTTATGAAAACTAAATTAAATAATCCGTACACACAGTGCTTACCGTTATTTGGCACATAGGGCTTGACAAACATAAGTGATGTGTCCTGAACTCTCCTTCTCTGAGCCCCCTTTGGGGCCCAGACAGCAGTCATGGTGACCAAGGTGTAAGGCTGCTCTGGGGCCTCTGAGAGACTACAGGACAGCTCCTGGAGTGTGGCTCCCAGACCCTCCTTCCCTGAAAGGTGACCTTCCCAGGAGACATCCCCCCACCCCTCCACCCCCCAGGGCATAGGAACCCAGGAACAGCAGGTGGGGGAGGGGGGGTGGAGATTAACAAAGACCCTTGGTGTTAGAATCCCAACCTGGGAGGGCAGGACTGAGCAGTCTGCCTCTGATGTGTTTCCAAGTTTCATGAGAGCAGCTCACAGCACTCATTGTCACACCAAGATCACAGCGCTGGCTCCGTTCCTTTCTGTGGTATCTGCTCACTAGGCCTCATTCACCAGTCTCCGGTGCATTGGGAGCCACTGGGGGCTATGTGGATCCATGTGCATCACTTCTTAGGAGTGGCAGTGGGAACTGAGGCCTGAGACCTCAGGTGACACAGAGGAGGCCCCAGCTAGCATCAGGTCTCATAGGTACTGCCTGACTCCCAAGCCTATCACATCCCTGCCCCAACCAGACGCTAGAAGGACACAAATCAGCTACAAAGAAGAAAAGGAAATGGGAGCTAGGACCACGAACACCCACTGTGTGCCAGATGTTGGGGAAGGCACTGTACACCCACAGTCTCGTGTGATCCATACCTTCACCTGGGGGCTACACCCACTTTACAGATAAGAAAACCCTGCCGCTCAGAAGGGCGATGGGCTTCGCTGCACGGCACACAGATGGTCAGTGGGGTTCTGGCCCAAGCTGTGTCCTCCCCAGCCCCAAGAGGAATGTGTCCTCACCTAGAGCAAGGCTGGCTGGCTGGCTGGCTGGGTGGCTGGGTGGTCCAGTGGCTGGGCGATGGCCTCTGGGGGTTTGGGCAGGGGAGTGATGGAGGTCAGTGGGCAAGAGCAGGGTGAAGCTTAGTGGGCTGGTCAAGCTGCCAGTGGTTGAACCTGAACTCCAGAGGCCGTGAGCAGCACAGAGGACTGGGGTTAGGGGCTGGGGACAATCTGAACCAGACATCCCCCGGGTGGGGAGCTGGGTGGAGGGTGCCTGTGTGGCTCCTGCTCAGTTCCCTGAAAGATCCTGGGTGGGGGGCAGGGAGAGTGGCAAAGAAAGAGATGCAATCCATTTTTTTTTTAAATATGCTGGCTCCAAAGACAAGTATTACATGATCTCATTCATATGTGGAATCTAATGAACAAAATAAACTGATGAACAAAATAGATCCAGAGCATAGAAACATGGAACAGACTGAGGGATCTCAGAGGGAAGGTGGGGGTGGGTGGGTGGAGAGAGATAAACCAAAGAATTTATACTCCTATATGTGTACCATGGACACAGACAATAGTGTGGGGAAGGCCCAGAGGGGGAGTGGTTCGGGGTGGAGGTGGTCAATGGGGAAAAAAAGGGGACATTTGTAATACTTTCAACAGTAAAGTTAGAAAAAAATATGCTGGCTCAAGGCCAAAAGATTCCATCTTGGGGTCAGAGGCACCCCCACTGGAGCAGGAACTCGGGGATGACAGCATCCCCTGCCACTGTGCCTGGCTCAGGGCGACCCCCAGGAGCCAGGGAGGAGCGCCAGGGAGCTCTCCTGACATGAGGAGGAAAGGGCCCCTTCCCAGGGCACCAGGCTGCCTGAGGGCACCTATGCAGCATCCTTCAGCCTGTCCTCTCTCAGAAAGTAGGGCCGAGTGTCAGCAGATCCCAGAGCACAGCTTTTTCCCCGGGATGAATCCTTACTACAAGATTTCCACACATTTCCATCCAGAAGCTCAGCAAGTGTGCCCAGGACGCTGCGCACCCTCGGACACAGGTGGGCGTGGGGAGACCTGGGAGGACCCAGAATTCACCAATGTCGACCACAAAGGCTGCAATCATTTTTAACTGCTAACACCTAATCCCCTTAATGTTTCCGACAGAAATGAAAAATGGTCACACTGCACATCCATTTGTTTGTGGGCGTATGAAATCCACTTTTATAATGTTTAATATTTTTGATTTATTGAATTTTCACTTAGCTTTTATTGGCCATGCTCCCCCTCTGCACTCCCTGCAAGGGCTGCACATGGCCATGACTTGCACAAACTCGGCCAGGAGACAGGATGGCATCCTGGGCGGTGGGGGGGGTGCCAGGCGTCAGCCAGCTCTAAAGAGCAATGAACAAGGGCTTCAGCCCCCAGGCGGCCCTACCCTCAGCACACCAAATGATGAAGGGACCTGGAGGGCAGGCCAGGAGCCAGAGCTCAAGCCCAGGGCAGGGAGCCGCAGGGGCTCTCTCAGCAGCCCAGGGCCATGGCCCCGGCCCAGACCTCAGGCCTCTCACACAGACAGGTTTCGTCCTCCTGGGCTCCAGAGTGCAATGACCCTAAAGCCCATCGAGGGCCCTCAGTGCCTGCCGAGAAGAGGGTTGGCTGTGCAGGACCAACATCCACGAAGACTAGAAGATTCTGCCGCCTCTGACCCATGAAATGGGGTTTTTCTCACCTACAAAGTCCATCAGAGCTGAGTCTGATCTCAACTCTGCCCCTTCTTACCTGAGTGACCTTGGATAAGTCATCTGATTCTCTGAGCTTCAGTTTCCTGTGTAAAATGGCTTTAATACGGTGCCACTGAAAAGGCTGATGTGAGGATTAAAGGAAATAACCTGGGCAAAGCCCCTAACACCATGCCTAACACATATTAGAGGCTCAGCAAATGCTCATTGGCACTCACCCTCAACACCTACCCCGAGGCACCCACACGATGTTCAGTGGGTCACCCCTCTCACCAGCTGGGATGGGTGCATGGTGAGGAAGCTGGTGACCAAGGAGGGAACAGAAGGTGCTCTGGTTAGGGGTGCGGTGGTGGGGTGCCCAGCAGAGCCTGTCCTGGCCATGGTCCCTCTGGAAAAGCCCTCTGACCAGCCTCTGTGGGGGAGGCCCGGGGTGGTGCCGTGCCCCTTCCGTGCCCACTTCCTCCCACCTGGCCGAGGCAGAGGTTCGCAGATTAAGTGCCTGTGTGACTCTGGAACCCTGTGGGCCTCTGGCCTGGCTGAAAGATCCCAATGCCAGCTCTACACCTGCCCGGGGTCCTCAGAGGCTCGAGTTACCAACAATAGCTGCCAATCCCTGATGCAAACGCTGCGGTGGGGAGAGTCAGGAGCTACTGGCTGCTGAGCCTCTAGTGCGATAACCACCGTTAAGGGAAAGCGTGGGGCTGGTGCAGTCACTATATGAATTGGGCTGCGGGAGGGTAGGGCTGTCAGCTCTGGCCTCACCCTGCTCCCAGCCTCTGTGGGCTTTCATGGATCTGGAGAAATGGTCCTGCCTGGAGCCCTGGCCGGTGTGGCTCAGTGGTTAGTGTCGGCCCTCGCACCAAAGGGTCTCCGGTTCGATTCCGGGTCAAGGCACGTACCTGGGTTGCAGGTTCAATTCCCATCCCTAGTCGGGGCACATGGGAGAGGCAACCAATCAATCGGTCTCTCTCACATCCACGTTTCTCTCTCTCTCTCTCCTATTTTATCTTTTAAAAAATCAATGGAAAAACATCCTCAGGTGAGGAGTAACAAAAAGACAAAAAAAGTTTCTGCCTGGAAGGGAGGAGACAAAGGGAACTTAGGGGGAAGGAGAGGGAAAGAGGGGACACGGAGAGCTACACACAGAAAGAGCCAGGGCTACTCGTAGGTCTGAGTCCCCCAGCTGGTGGTCAGGCTTTGAGACTGTCTTGCTCCATGAACTCCATGGTGCCCATGATTTACTGAATCTCATTTGCTAGAACCTTTCTTTTTTCTTTTCTTTCCTTTTTATTTTAAATATGTCTTTATTGATTTCAGAGAGAGGAAGCGAGAGGGAGAGAGAGATAGAAACATCCATGATGAGAAAGTCATTGATCGGCTGCCTCTTGCACGCCTCCTGCTGGGTATCGAGCCCGCAACCCGGGCATGTGCCCTGACCAGGAATTGAACCACTACCTCCTGGATCCTTGGTCGATGCTCAATCCCTGAGCCATGTCGGCCAGGCTGCTAGAACCTTTCATAGTGCTCACCATGCGGCAAGCATTGCTTTAAGCATTTTGTAAATGGAAATTCATTTACCAGCCTCATAACAACCCACAAGGTGAATATCATTAGCGTCACTTTGCAGATGAGGAAACCGAGTTACAGAGTCGGGTAAATAAGTTGTCCAAGTGACTAAACTGAAGTGGCAGATCCAAGACTTGAAGCAGGTGGCCCAGCTTTACTGCCTGTGCCCTTCACCCCTTTTTGCAGCTTCCAAACCCCTGTGCCTGGCACATAGTGGACACTCTCTGAACAGTCATTGGCTATCCGGAGCCCTAGGCTGCCTGGGGCCCTCTCTCCTCACACTCACTCCCTGCCCCTCCCAGTTACGACATTTAGCCCCTTATCTCAGAGGCTGGGGATGTTTTAAAACATTTCTCCAGCAAGCACTGGAGTCGTGAACGAGGCCCTGGCCTGGGGAGAGCGCTCCTGAGTCCCTTCTCCCCAACTCTGGCTGAGTCGTGAGCACTGACCATGCCCTCCTCATGGCTGTGGGACCAAAACGCCAACCCAAAGCCCCCAGAGGGTTTCTCTGGTGAGGTCCATGCCTGGCCATTCCACTCATCTTACCTGCTCTCGGATGCCCAAATGTAAGCTGGAAGCTGCTGTCTTTCAGAGGAATTTCTTGGGGGTGAGGAAATACACTGGGGTTCACTGGAAATGTCCATGCACCCCTCTCCAGCAGACCTTGCCCCCACCTGCAAAGTCAGGCACATAGACATCACAGTTTGTATGACCTCAGACAGGTTAGCTGGCTCCAAAACTGCAGCTCCCCCAGTTCAGATAAATATTGAGGAGAAGGTGGGCCGATCCAGGCCTGCCTTGCGTGTCCCACTGTCGCCCTGCCCCTAGCTCAGGCCTTGGTGCACATGCAATCACCACCACCATCCACCTCCATAATTTTTTCCATCTTCCCAAACTGCAGCTCTGGACGCATTAAACACTAACTCTCCACGCCGCCCCCAGCCCCTGGCACCCACCATTTGACTTCCTGCCTCTCTGAATTTGACTCTTCCAGGTCCCTCGTAATTGCCTAAGTTAGGGTAGATGGCTCTATGACGGCTCAGTTAACCATTCTCTCAGGACTGATCAGACAGATTGTTTCCAGTCTTCCCTTAGTCTCAGTAATGCAGCAACAGATATATTTGTGCAACATGTCTTCCTGTGTGTATTTAGCACACAGGCCTGGGCCCTGGCTTCTCCTCCTGGGGCGACTCTGAAACCTCCTGGGGCGACTCTGAAACCTCCTGGGGCGACTCTGAAACCTCCTGGGGTGACTCTGAAACCGCATGGGCCAGGCCTGAGGGAAGCCTGCGCCTGAGACTCAGCACGGAGGAGGAGGGGGA